GGTGTGTTTGGAACACAGAGGGCACCTGGGTGTGATGAGGGAGAAACTGAGAAGAGTCAGAGAGCTTTGCTTTCTGGTTTCTGGAATTGAAAATTATCTTAATAACTTTATGGGTGGAGGGAAGAATAGGAAGAAGGAAGGAAGAAAGGAAGGGAGGGAGGGAAGGAAGAAAGGATCATGGATAGATCGATTGGTGGGTAGGTGGATGGATGAATGCATGGATTTCCCTGCATTGTGTCTACATATGCAAATTAACTGCCATCTTTGTTGGCGGTTAACCCAGGCCTGATCTTAGTTGACAGTTAATTTGCATATCGCCCTGATTAGCCATTGAAAAGGGTAGCGGTCATACGCCAATTACCATGTTTCTCTTTTATTAGTGTAGATTTGGCATTTTGCTTTAGGAAAACATCAGTGAATATATACACCTTCACTAATCTCCGTGTCATTGTTGAATACAATGGGGCCTTGACTTACGAATTTAATTTGTTCCGTGACGAAGCTCTTAACTCAAATTACTTGCATGTCAAATCAGTTTTCACCATTACAATGATACGTGATGCTGGGCTGATCTTGTGGCATGCACTGTGACGCTCGCTGCACCAACTAGCGGTGGGGTATCTGAAGCTGGCTTGTAACCCAAATTTTAGCTCGCAACTCAAAGCAAAAAATCAGCCGAGAGATGGCTCATATCTCGAAAAACTCGTTAGTCGGGACACTCGTAAGTCAAGGCCCCACTGTATATGGAGGTGTATATATTCATAATTTTTCCTAAAGCAAAATGCAAAATATGTATATGTAAATGTTATATAAGATTATATTTCATTATATATTACTAGAGGCGAGGTGCACAAAAATTTGTGCATTCGGGGGTGCGGGGGGATGTCCCTCAGCCTGGCTTGTGCCCTCTTGCAGTCTGGGACCCCTCCGGGGATGACCACCTGCTGGCTTAGGCCTGCTCCCCGGGGAGCCCGGCAGCCCGGCAGCCTTCGGGGGATGTCCACTTGCCAGCGGGGAGCAGACCTAAGCTGCAGTCGGACATCCTTAGCACTCCTGAGGAGGCAGGAAAGGCTCCCACCACCACCGCTGTACTGGCAGCCGTCAGCCTGGCTTGTGGCTGAGCAGAGCTCCCCCTTGTGAGAGCACACTGACCACCAGGGGGCAGCTCCTGTGTTGAGCATCTGCCCCCTGGTAGTTAGTGCGCATCATAGTGACTGGTGGTTCCGCTGTAACGGTCACTTAGGCTTTTCTTATATAGATATTGTAGTGCACACTTGTCCAGCACCCATTCACCTTCTATTGGATTTGATTCATTCTAGAGGCAAGCCTTTCAATGAGTGTCCACCAGTTTCTATCACTAGAACCTCAGAGGTATCCTTCTCTCTATTTGACACCTGTGAACTACCTAATGTCCTTCCAATAAATTCCCAAGTTCTTTTCCCTATTTAATGTAGATTGAGTCAGTTAGTGTTACTTTCAAAGACCTGTAATACAAAACTAGTTCCAAAGGGTAGGTTGCAGGCAACTGCCCCTCAGAAAAATGTAAGTCATGAATCAATAAGAGGTAGAAGGCATCAGGACTCTCATTCATATTCTAGATGGTAAGCAAAGAGCCCATGTATGGAGTGGTGAGATAGGGCTGAATTCATCAATGCCGCAGCAGGCGGGAAACCTTGGCATCCCCCATCTCTAGAGCAAGCAAGCCTCTTGCTCGCTTCAGCTGCATGGCTTCTGGCCGCCATCTTTGTTGGCAGTTAATTTGCATATCGCCCTGATTAGCCAATGGGAAGCAAGCGAAGGTATGGTCAATTACACTTTTTGTCTTTTATTAGAGAGGGTATTTATATTAGGCCATTATATTATATATATCACATATCTCATCTAATAAAAGAGAAACATGCAAATTGACCATACCTCTGCTACACCCACCAGCCATGCCCACCAGCCATGCCCACCAGCCAATCAGGAGCAAATATGCAAATTAACCCAACCAAGATGGTGGTTAATTTGAATACTAGGCACCAGTGGCCTGGGTCTGCTTGGAAGCAGCAGAGGGTTCCCAGGTCACTCCGAGGTAGGCCCCGTGTGGGCCTTGAGCAGCCTAGGAAGGGCCTGAGCCAGGAGGCTCCTGGGCAGGGCCTGAGCCTGCAATAAGAGCCGAGGGAGCCCCTGCCCATACCTAAGGCTCGGCCAGAGGCTTGAGGCCTGGGTAGGGGCAAGCCATCCATCGGAGTGGGCTGGGGGTCCCCTGCTCAGGCCTAACCCCCAGCCAGAGGGCCTGGGCAGGGGCCAAGCTGGGGATCAGTGTGAACTACAGAGGAAACACCTTTTCTGACCGCTCATTGGCTAAGTTCCCTGTATGCCTCTGGTAATATTCTTAGTAACTTGGGTAATAAGAATCCAGGGAGGTGTTGTAGAGTTTTTCTACCTCACTCCTGGACTAAAAAACAAAGGTCTGCTGCTGGAGGACTAAGAAATGTCATATCCTGCCCTCGCCCATTTGGCTCAGTGGATAGAGCCTTGGCCCACAGACCGCAGGGTCTGGGTTCGATTCTGATCAAGGGCATATACCTAGGTTGCAGGCTCCTCACTGGCCGGGGCCAAGGTCAGGGCTCATGCAGGAGGCAACCAATCAGAATGTCCCTCTCACTTTGATGTTTTTGTCTTTCCCTTTCTCTTCCACATTCTCTAAAAATCAATGGAAACATATCCTCAGGTGAGGATAAAAAAAATAAAGAAAGAAAGAAATGTCATATCCTATGAAAGACACATCTTGAAAATGCCCAAAGAAAGTTGTCATTTTTTCATGGTGAAGGGACTGGAGTCTGTGTTGATGAAAACACCTTGGTGGCTGCAGTGGCTGGCAGTGGCTGCAGCAGCAGGGTGATGGGGCTGGTGCCTTCCCCTGATCAGCCCGGTCGCCTCCCACAAAGGGAGGCCAGACTGCGGCTTAGGCCCACTCCCTAAGGGGAGCAGGGAGAGGGCTTAAGTCATCAGTAGGACATCCCCTGAGGGCTCCCAGTATGTGAGAGGGGACAGGCTGGGCTGAGGGACCAGCCTCACCCCCCAGTGCATGAATTTTGTGCACCGGGCCCCTAGTATTATATATAACAAAAATAAGATCAAGTTCACTGAATATAAATTACAACCCATAGTACAAAATGCACTTGTAAATAGCCATTTAGTTTCGGTAAATAATTCACATCTCTCTCATTTACTTATCATTCAATAAATAGATATTTACTGAAGACCTAGTATGTATTGTTGACTTTGGCCAAGGGCAGAATTATTTTTTTGCTTTTTTTAAAATATATTTTTAATGACTTCAGAGAGGAAGGGAGAGAGAGATAGAAACATCAGTGATGAGATAGAATCATTGATTGACTGCCTCCTGCATGCCCCCTACTGGGGATTGAGCCCACAACCTGGGCATGTGCCCTTGACCAGAATGGAACCCAGGACCCTTCAGTGCACAGACCAAGGCTCTATCCACTGAACCAAACTGGCAAGGGCAGAGCAGAGTTTTTAATTAAGGCATTTTGTTGTTGGTGGTGGTGTTTTTCAAATATGTGTTTCTTGATTTCAGAGAGGAAGGGAGAGGGTGAGAGAGAGAGGATATATTGGTGAGGATATATTCCCAAGAAAATAAGTATGTGTAACTGATGGAACTTTCAAAGACAAAGGTTTCTTTCCCCCATACAATGTGTCCATTGTAACTGGCCTCCACATGCCTTTGTTCTGGGACCAGGCAGCAGTCACAGGGTCTGGGGAAGGTAACAAGTCTTACAGGAGAGAGAGAGGAGAAAGGGCATGGGAAAAGTGAGCTCGCTCTAAATCTTTTCTGAAGTTCTAAATCTTTTCTGCCTACACCTCATTGGCCAAAGCAAGGCGCATGAATCATTGTGAATAACATTATAGTCTATTCCAGAAGGTTGCCCGATGTCTTGTTATTTTCAGGTAAAAGCTGAGCGCTAACATTGTTGCTATGACCTTGAACAAAAAGACCTTCTCTTTCTATGAATCATGAATATTTCCATGTCTGTACTAACAGTAGACTCCATTTCCTTCTTTTTCTCTTTCAGAGACTTAAGTAACAACCGAATAAGCACCCTTTCTAACCAGAGCTTCAGCAACATGACCCAGCTCCTCACCTTGTGAGTGTCAAAGTGCGGTACTGAGTTTTCATTAAGTCGATGGGCACAGTGCATTTTCTAGGGACTGGACATTCCTGGTAAACAAGACAGATAGCATCTTTGCCCTTGAGGAATGTAAATACTTGCTGGGAGAAACAGACAAATAATGCCTCAATCAGCCAACAAATACAGACATTACAAAGGTGGTGGGTTCTATAAAAGACAGAAGGGATATTTACACCTGTGGGGGGGTTAGAGGCGATGCATAAGCAAATGTATGCAGAAGGTCACCTTCTGGAGGGCACAGTTGAGGCATCAGCACCTGTGGAGGTAGGAAGCTTTCTGGGCTTTACTTAGGAAATATATAGGTTGTTTCACTAAAACAATACAATATTTTTTAAACAATATTAGGTGTCAATATTCTCAATTTATAAGATACTAAAATAACCTTCTTCTTAGCCACTTTATTTTAAAAATGACATCCGGCCCTTTTGGGATGCCTGAGTAAGACCACTTGGCTTCTATATGCTTTCAGGATTCTCAGTTACAACCGTCTGAGATGTATCCCTCCGCGAACCTTCGATGGATTGAAGTCTCTTCGATTACTGTAAGCATCTGATGTTCAACAAAGAAATTCTTCTCAGGGATGGAGTTGTCTATTTACTAGTGGCTTAACTGCTTTGTTGATCCTTGGGTGTGTTTGGTTATATGGATTTACTACAAATTTGGAAAAGCATATCTGACTACATCATTGTTCATCAGCTTTAATTTGGACAATATAATTTTTTTAATATATTTTATTGATTTTTTACAGAGAGGAAGGGAGAGAGATAGAGAGTTAGAAACATCGATGAGAGAGAAACATCGATCAGCTGCCTCCCGCACACTCCCCACTGGGGATGTGCCCGCAACCCATGCACATGCCCTTGACCGGAATCGAACCTGGGACCCTTCAGTCCGCAAGCCGACGCTCCATCCACCGAGCCAAACCGGTTTCGGCGACAATATAATTTTTTCTTCTGTCATGTTTTTGCTGTAATTGCTTATTTGATAATATATAATATTTAGAGGTATGTTTTACATAGAGTCAACTAATTTTGAAAGAAATGTAGGAAATGCTGTCTTTGCTGATTACATAACAAGTGAATTTTAAAGCATATAAAATAAAACATGATCCTCAAGACCAGTACCGTCCCTAAGAATTTACCATTATCCAATTTGATGTTCTTTTATGATCCTCCCTTATACATATTTGGTTTTTGTTTTGTTTCTGTTTTTAATATATTTTTCTTGATTTCAGAGAGGAAGGGAGATAAAGAGGGAGAGAAATATCAATGTTGAGAGACAATCATTGAAAGGTTGCCTCCTGTACACCCTCAACTGGGGATTGAGCCCACAACCGGGGCATATGCCCTTGACCAGAATCAAATCTGGGACCCTTCAGTCCACAGGCTGACACTCTCTACCCACTGAGCAAAACTGGCGAGGGCAACACATTTGGTTATTTTGATGATATACATATTCCCTGGCTATATCAATTTTAAAAGCCATAAATAGGAATTGTTCTTTTTCTGTCACATCTTCACTATCATTTGTTTTACTTCTAAATTTTCATAATTCTGTTCATCACTCTAAAGAACAGCCCACACGTTCACTTTGGTACCAATGTGCTAGTAATTCCAGCAATGATTTGCAGGGGAAATTACCGTCAAGTGTACTGGGAGAACACGAAAAATAATCATCACATTGCCCTTCAAATGGGATTTTGTCAATTAACACATTTATTTTTTCCACCAACTATTTAATAGAGTACCTGCTTTAAAGCACTCCTGCCAATATTGAATATCATCAATCCTTTCATTTTTATCGTATGACAAAAGCAACTTTATTTCCCATTTCTGATTTAATTTGCAATTCCAATTACTCGAGCATTTGAATATATTTTTTTTATTGAGCATTTGTGCTGCTTAATCTATGAGCCTGATCATATCATTGCCCTGTTTTTATTGGGTACTTTGTCTTTTCCTTATTAACTTACATATCTTTGTACATCTAGCACTTGACTCTAAGTTTGCAGGTCTTTTCACAAAGGAATTATTCCTCGTATCTAATATGTGTTGCAAATATTCCCCATCCTCTTCCTTATATGTAATCTTTTATAGTATGAATATATTTTCTGTTCTCAAAAATGTGTCACTCCTTTTCATTATGGTTACTGAGTTTTACACAATGATTTTGAAACCCTTTCCTATCCTGTTTATAAAACGGAACTCTTCTGTATTTTCTCTTACTACACTTCAGTTTTATTTTTACATTTAACTCTTCAACCTAGAATTTATGTTATGCATACGACTTGAAGTAGGAACTAGTTTTTTGCTTTCTGAAATAGATACCAAAGCTATTTATTGACTAGACCATCTTGTCTTCACTGATTTAAAATGCTTATCATCAACTGAAGTTTCATATACATGCATGGGGATTTTTCTGAACTCTTTGAGTTATAGGAAATTGAATTTTCTTTTTCTTGTTTTAGTTCTTTACATGGAAATGACATTTCTGTTGTGCCTGAAGGTGCTTTCAACGATCTTTCTGCATTGTCACACCTGTGAGTACCTAGTTCATGATGTGGGTTTAGGCTCCAACTGTCCCTGGCAAGTGAGTTTGCAACACACATCCTCTGCTGCCCCTTTTATTGTCATATTGTCACATGTGAATGGTTCCATTTTAAAGAAAATGTAAAGATTTTCAATGTAGATATGGTGAACTCCACAAGACAGCCTTCATTTATTCTTTTGGCCCATACTCCCCATTAGTTAAGTTCTCTTTGCTTACCCAACGTCCTAACCAATACCTTTGCTCTCATTGTTCTCCGATTCTAAAATATTGGCTTTCTTCCATTCAGTCTCTGCAAACCCAATTGTTCTAAGACACATCCCAATTATCACCTCTTCCATGAAGCCTACCCTGTTCCCTCAAACAAGATTCGTTTATTTAGCAAATATTACTCAGCAATAGCTATGGTTCCATGCAGAAATAAATGAGACAGAGTTCACGACCTTATAATGTGGTAGAGGGCAATAGCCAAATCCTCACACTGGGTGAAACACTTTTCTTTGTGTTGTTTACTACAGCAGCCATTCGTACCTCCATATTTCCTGGAAGTGCAATTTTAGAAATTAAAAATATGGGATAAATGGGATCCAAAAACTCAGCTGGGTCAAATTTCATGATTCTGTTATTTTCGGTTGTACTGTTAAGACCATGGCCAACCTGGACAGAAGTTGGGGGAGCTGTCCTAGGAACCACAGCCTTCCTGGGGCAGGCTGCATGGGCATTCCCAGGGAGCGGCTCTCTGCTTTGGCTTAAACGTCAGTGTCACTGGGCTCCCATTTCCCCAGAGAAGTTGCCTGCCATGTCCCCTCTTGGTTTTGCTCTTCCCTCCCAAACCCACCAAACCCCAAGGTATGACTGTAGAAAATTGAGACAGGGGGATGGGCGGAGGATAGGAGTTAGTTGTCAATCATGCTACATCTGAATTTGTCCTATCGGGGCTGTGTTCTCCATGCAGGTGTTTGCAATATGATTGTTTGGTGCCTACAGTGACTAATCCTTCCAACTAAACGATTAGGGCGCGGGAGGCAAGACCTCTATGTTTTCCATATTTGAACCCCAGCACCTCAAAGTCAACATCAGGACTACTCAGGGGTGTCATTTGCCTGAGACACGATGTTAATGAAAGCCAATAGCTCTGGGTGCGAGACTGTGGTGCTCTCTGGCAGACCAGTCTGTGCAGCACAAAGAAGGAAGCGGCCGTCCCATCCGCTAGGTCAAGCTGATGGAGCAGGAAGGGCTGCACTGGGCAGCGTGGCTTGAGCTCAGGCGAACATCCCTTTCTGTGGCCACCCCGTTCACAGTGAGGAAAACTTGAACTTCTCTGTCCTGTGTTCTGTTCACGCCTATATTTAATGTATGCGTTTGTCTCTTACTCCCTAGATTACAAACAGCTCTGCTCTATGCACTTTTTCTGTTGCATCCCTCACGTAGTAAGGACTTAGCAAATGTCACTAAGGAAGAGACCAAATGACTCAAAAACATCATGTTGCTCATTTTTTATTTGTAAAAAGAGTTTCAATCTGACGCAGATATGAACTTAACTTTTATTCCAGTTTTTTTTTTGTTTAGAGTTGGGCATTAAAGTTGCAATGTAAAGTATTTTACAAGCATATTATGGGGATTTTCTAATAAAACAGTAACTTCAATTTTGTGTAGACCATAGACCTAAAATGTTATTAATCTGAAGTTAATTATCAATCAGAATTCATCAGTTTTTAAATGCTGTTTTATGTATCTCTTGTGCCCAAATTTGGCAATTTGGAAAACCCAGTGGTTAACTTATTTGGCCTCAGATTCATCATCTGTGAAATGCTTTATTATACTATTGACATCAGAGAGTTGCTATTTTGGATAAAATGATGTAATTCGAGTAAATACACAGCTTAGCACAGTCCCTGCCTATGGAATGACACAGTAAATGTTAGCTATTACCTTGATTACTATTCCTATCGCTACTGCTGCCTGTGTGGGTAGGAACCAAAGCTCTGAAATGAAACACTTTGTAAAGGGACCTTCATCCAATGACGGTCTAAATCAGCTCTGACGAACTAGCGTCTCTGTTTTCCCAGGCAGTTTCTCATCTTTGTGCCTGTGTGCTCACTGGTTTTACCCTGGAACATCCTCCTCAGCCTTTCCCACCCTCTTGGCTCATCTAAAAGCTTAGACATTTTAACCACCAGTCCCCCACGGAGTTATCCTCTGTCCACAGTCCTCTTGTAAATCCTTCTGCTAGAGCACTTCTAAAGGAAGTGTGTGTTCACGTATGCCTATAGGTTAATCTCCCTCGCAGAAGGAGTTCTTGGGAGTTAAGAGTAATGTAGGTTTCATATTGGGATCTCCAGAATCCAGCACTGTGATTGGGTTCTCATTAAATAATCGGTGAATAAAGGCAGCGTTGTTCTCCACCCAATTTAAACCTGTCTCTCCAAATACCTGGACGCTGTCTAAATTTCAGGCATGTGTTAACACTAGTGATGACTCACTCAATCTCAGTTGCACATAATCCAGGAAAATGGGTAACCCAATGTCTTCATTTTCTTCTAAGTTGTTTTTGTCAGTAAATCTATAGAGAATGTCTACTGAGCATTGCTTTATGTTCCCTTAGGAAATAAGATGTGTGTGTGTGTGTGTGTGTGTGTGTGTGTGTGGTGTTTTTCAGAGCAATTGGAGCCAACCCTCTCTACTGTGACTGTAACATGCAGTGGTTATCCGAATGGGTGAAGTCGGAATATAAAGAACCGGGTATTGCCCGTTGTGCCGGACCTGGAGAAATGGCGGATAAACTGTTACTCACAACTCCGTCCAAAAAATTCACATGTCAAGGTATGGTATTTAATCGTTTTTATTTCTATAAATAAAATTTGCCATATTCATTTCAAAAGAAAACAAAAATACCATTTGCTGCTAGATTTTAAAGGTATCACTGAAAAGCCCCAGTAACTACTGTTTCCACCCACGCGTGGGTAAGACAGAGCAGTTATCTGAGGCACCCAAGTAAAGAATTAGGCTTTTCAAATAAATTGCAGAAATAGTCCATTGGAAATTATGTAGTTTTCTTTAAATTGCATGAAGAAGTGAAGAGTGCACAATTTCTGGAAATTCCTCTCATAGCCTCTCACAGGTGACATGTTTTGCTTTTGCTTTGTCTGAACGTGTGCCCCGCTGCCAGGGCTGCCAGGGCCTTGTGGCTTCCTGACGCCAGGTAAGGAGATGAGCCCCACCCCTGGTGTCAGGCCAAACCTCCCCTCTGGCCTCTCGTGCTGCCCTCTTCCTGGTATAATATGCCTGTGGCTTCCTTCCTTCCTTACGTCCCTTGTTCCCCCTTTGTTTTATGTATTTGTGAATCTGCAATAGCATCTTATTAACAAATATTTTTTTCTATTATTACAAGAATAATATATACCCAACATAGAAAAATCTAAAGAATAAATTGTAAATAATAAGAAATGTTGTGCTGAAACCGGTTTGGCTCAGTGGATAGAGCGTCGGCCTGCAGACTGAAAGGTCCCAGGCTCGATTCCGGTCAAGGGCAGGTACCTGGGTTGCGGGCACATCCCCAGTGGGAGATGTGCAGGAGGCAGCTGATCAATGATTTTCTCCCATCATTGATGTTTCTATCTCTCTCTCCCTCTCCCTTCCTCTCTGTAAAAAATCAATAAAATATATCTTAAAAAAAGAAAAGAAATGTTGCATTTCTGCAAAAACTAAATCCCAGTACCTAGAGGTAAACATTATTAAACTTGTTTTGTACATTTTTCCATGTTTGCTAGTCAAATGCATAGGTTTATTTTTTATTTATTTTTAAATATATTTTTATTGATTTCAGAGAGGAAGGGAGAGGGAGAGAGAGATAGAAACATCAATGATGGGAGAAAATCATTGATCAGCTGCCTCCTGCATGGCCCACACTGGGGATGGAGCCCACAACCGGGGCATGTGCCCTGACCAGGAATCAAACTGTGACCTCCAGGTTCATAGGTCGGCACTCATCCATTGAGCCACGCTGCCGGGCTCAAATGCATGGATTTTGATTCCTTACCAAAGATGGGATAGAAGGTTACTGTCAATCTAAATTTGTAGATTTTCAAGAGAGCCACTCATCATTACTAGATGGAGGAGAGAAATTCTTGAAAATTTTAAATGTATAATCAGTAAATGTTTATTAAACATGTTTTATGTGTAACACTAAACCCTAGGTATCATGGAACATACAGATGTTCGTGTTATGTTCTTGCCTTCCAAGGCTTGAAAACCTAGCTGGAAATATAAGCTTCCAACATTTGCACCTTTAGGTGAGAAAAATGTATCTAAGTAGGTCATAGTGTACTTTGGGTCACAATGGGTCTTAGTGTGCATGGGTCACAATGGGTCATAGTGTGAGGGGGTCACAGTAGGCCATAGTGTGAGGGGGTCACAGTAGGCCATAGTGCACAGGAGGTCACAGTAGGTCATAGTGTACATTAGGTCACAGTGGGTCTTAGTGTGCATGGGTCACAATAGGTGATAGTGTGCATGGATCACAGTAGGCTATAGTGTACTTTGGGTCACCATGGGTCATAGTGTGCAGTGAGTCACAGTAGGCCATAGTGCACAGGGGGTCACAGTAGGCCACAGTGCTCAGGGGGTCACCATGGGTCATAGTGCACAGGGGGTCACAGTAGGTCATAGTGTGCAGGGCGTCACAGTGGGTCATTGTGCGCAGGGGGTCACAGTGTGAGAGCTGAGGCCCGGCCTGACCTATTCTGGGCTAAATCCAGGTTCACTTTGCAGCAGTTATGGAGCAGTTTAGCCACACTGTGCCTCAGTTTTCTCCTGTGTAAGCAGAGGCAATGACAGTACCTACCCAAAAGAGCTTTGTTAACACTAGATAAATCATTACATGTGGGATCTTTAATTTAAAAAAGCCAATTTTATAGAAAGAAAGAATAAATGGTGGTTACCAGGGGCTGCAGGAAAGGGAAAATGGGGAGCTGTAGGTCAAAGGCTTCAAACTTTCAGTTATAAGAAGAATAAATTGAGAGGATGGAATGTTCAGTATGATCACAGTAGTTACTAATACAATGTTGGCCTGGCTAGTGTAGCTCAATGGTTGAGTGTCTACCTATGAACCAGGAGGTCATGGTTCAATTCCGGTCAGGGCATGTGTCAGGGCACATGCAGTCTTAACCCCTAGTTGGGGACATGCAGGAGGCTGCCTATCAATGATTTTCTCTCATCATTAATGTTTCTTTCTCCCTCTCCCTTCCTCTCTGAGAAAATAATAATAATAATAATAATACAATGTTGTATACTTGAAAGTTGCTGAGTGGATCTTGAGCAATTTCACCACACACAAACATGTTAACTATGCAAAGTTACAGATGTGTTAATTATCTTAATTCCACAATATTCATGTATATTTCATCATCACATTGTACACATTGAATATATGCCATTATATTTATCAATTATCCCTCCATATAGTTGTGAGGAAAGGATTAGTTGAATTAAATATATACGTAAAACACGTTACCTTACACACAGAAAGCACCCAACATAGGTTAACCACTAATTCTATTATAACTCTTCAAAAGACCAACAAACATGATGAGGACTCTCCATGATTTATTGATTAAAGAAGGAATTTTCAAAACCTATGTTCCCTACAGACATTTTTAACTCGGCATCTAATGCTTTTTTCCATAACTATAAATGGTTGCAAAATATGTCATTTGCAGTGCACTATGTTTGACTTTTAAAAAAAATTCCGCCATTACTCTTTTAAATGTATTTGGTGGAATCTAATGTAACAGCTAATTTTAAAAGACAAGAACAAGCCCCTGCCGGTTTGGTTCAGTGGATAGAGTGTTGGCTGAAGGGGCCCAGGTTCAATTCCGGTCAAGGGCACATGCCCGGGTTATGGGTTTGCAGGAGGCAGCTGATCAATGATTCTCTCTCATCATTAATGTTTCTATCTCTCTCCCTCTCCCTTTTTTTCTGAAATCAATAAAAATATATTTTTTTTAAAAAAAGACAAAAACAAGATCTTCTTTTTCCTTTTTCCTTGAACTTACGTTTTTCTCCTTGAATTTCTATTTCCAATACCTCAGAGAATTATATCGTTCTTTGTTACAAAAAAAGTATATATAATTAAAATTTTAAAAAGTTTCCTGCCACCAAAAATCTGTGAGTTTTTAAGTTTTTTTTTTTTATTTTAAATGAATTATTTCCATTAATACTCGAGCCATTGATTGGGACACCATTGATTGGGACAGCATAATTATTTACCCATATTTTAATATTGTTATTGACAGTTGAATGTTATTGGAAATGACTCTCTGAGATTATGTGCATTGACTGCAAGAGCCTTCGCAGTATTTTACATTGTTCTTTGGTGGCTCCGTTTCCTTGGGCAGTGCCCTGTGGCGGATTCCTGGTGGGCTGAGAGGTACCCTATCCTTTGTAAAGTGGAGACGATTGTCAGAGGGAAAGGGAAACTGGCATAACTCTTATTCTTAGGAATGTGACTGGGCAGAATGGTTTCAGAAAGACTGTGTGGGGGAAGTTGAGAAACTACAGATTGATTCTATTACACTTCTCTGTGCTCAAGGATACATGTACTCTATTTTGAAAAATGCTAGTGCTTCTCTCTATTTCTTAAAGTTTAGAATTTGCCAGAGATATTTTTTTTTTGGGGGGGGGGGGAGTCATGGTAACACAAATTTGATAAAAGCTACATACCTATATTCCATCCTTAGAGCATCCTGGTTCCCATTAATTGATTAAATGTTCTCAAATCCAAACACATGCATGTATACATATATACATACGTACATACACATCTGTTTAACTCAAGATTTATCTGACTGACTTACCGTTTTTGTTCATTTGGTTAATGACTGTAGAGTCTCAGGTACTTACTGTCCTGTGAATGGAAATGTGCGGGAGGGGATATTGGCCTATCTGCCTGATGGAACTTTGTGCAGTGATGGAAATATACTGTGTCTGCAATATCCTGTATGGTTGCCACTAGCCATAGTGGTTGTTGGGCACATAATGTGGCGAGTGCAACTGAGGAAGTGCATTTTAAATTTTATGTAATGTAAATGTGAATGTAAATCGCCACATGTGGCTAGCGGCTACCATATTGGGTAGAAGAGTTGCTACAAGGGCTCAGAGGCAGGTGGCCATGAAGGGTGAGTGTGCAGGTGTGTCTAAACCAGCTGTGTGGAGAAGCAGGCTAGTGTGGGACTGGCGTGCTCCTGGGTGGAGCTGCAGGAGCCAAGTGCTGGAGGGGTTCCAGGGCCTCCAGGAAACGGTTGAGCTGAGACTGGTTAATTGACAGATGATTTAAGGGCTTAGGCTTCTCAGCTGGACTGTGGCAGTTTAGTTTAATATTCACTGACTTATCAAATTAATGGATTCTATAATGTTCAAGGTGCTACCCTAAGCTGGGTAGCATATACCATGGGTGTGCACCAGCTGGCCAGCAGTGTAGGCATTCGGAAGTCAACAAATACAGCATAATTGCATTTAGCTTCAGGATGTACTCACTTTTGCTATACCTGAATATAATTAAGGTTCTGGGCTAGTTCAGCATTTATAACATTTCAGATTAGATCTCTGCCCTTACTGCCACAATTACTAAAAATAACAACAGTGACAACAACGAAAGCCAGTTTGTACTGAGCAGTTTGCATTGTGCTGAGAATTTTATGTAGCTATGTATCTCTAAATTTTCACATCATTCCTATAGTAGATACAATTATTTCCACATTTGAGAGAATAAAATACTGTAATGTAGGGAGATGATTTAATTAAAAATCACTCAGCTGCTGAATGAA